TTATTACAATGATGAGATTCAAAAAGGATTCAGAAGTACTATAAGTTGTCAGTGAATAACATTTCAGTGTTCATCACACAAAGCTATCATATGACGTCACAAGACTTAAAGCACATTAGTCTTAAGGACCTTTTTAATGACATTTTAATGGTGTTTTAAAGCTGTTGTTAAAGTTTGAATATTCAGTCCCTGTTCCTTGTAATTGCATGTTGACAGCGACCAGCACAGCAACATGAACTTACTATAGGGTTAGGATTAGGGTTTGGTTTAGGGTTAGTTGCTTGTAATTATCCATAATTTACTGGTATTGCTATATTAAATGCATGTAATTTGTAACAAGGACACTGTAAAATAAAGTGTTGCAGAAACTTCTCCTTTTATGCTCCATGGAATAGTAACAGAATTCATATTACCGTTTATTTTTGTTAAAATAAATGCAGCCTTGGTGATCATAAGGGACTATAGCTTTTAAAAATATTATAATTAGCTGTTATTAAATATTTTCTTTTATGCTTTCAGAGAGAGAGAGCATCTCACGTATTTCCAGCAGTGCTTTGAATTCTTTATTTGTGTTTATCACAGTGTTCACTGGACGCTGGCTGATGTCCTTCTGGACGGGCAGTGCTAAGATCCATGAGCTGTACACTGCAGCGTGTGGGCTGTATGTGTGCTGGCTCTCCATCAGAGCGATCACAGTGATGCTGGCCTGGATGCCTCAGGGGCGGAGAGTCATCCTGCTCAAGGCTCAGGAGTGGACCCTCATGGTACTGAATGCAGTGGTTTCATTATGGCTTAAAATTTTCTTCAAAAATGGAATGGACAAAGTAGTTTTAAAATAGGAGTTTGAGGTTATTTTACTGCAACATACATGGCTTTAAAACTATTGACATTGCATACAAAGGAAATCAATGTCTGCTTTGTCTATTCCTCTCTTTTTCCATTAATGTGCCGTGTTGGTGATTTGTGTGAATTCAGATTATGAAGACATTGATTGTGGCTGTGCTGTTGGCTGGAGTGATCCCTCTGCTCTTGGGACTGCTGTTCGAGCTGGTCATTGTAGCTCCTCTTAGAGTGCCGCTGGATCAGACGCCTCTGTTCTACCCCTGGCAGGTAAAGCACGAGTCCTGCTCTTAAAGGCACAGTTCACCCTGAAAAGAACAGATTTATTTACAAATATGTTGTTCTAAACCCCTGTGACTTTCTTCTTTGTAACACAAAAGGTTTATTGTAAAGAATATTCTTTCTGCTCTTTTTCATTTAATGAAAGTGAATGTGGACTGGGCCTGTCAAGCTCCAAAATGACACAAAATCCCACCATTAAAGTATCAAAAGCAGTCCATATGACATGGTTGACATTTGGTCACACTGCATGTTAGAACCAGTGGCTCTCAAAGGACATATCTTTTTTTTATTCAGTTTTTCTAGACAAATCAATTTGAAATCATGAGGGTAAATAAATGACGAAATTGTCATTTATTGAATGTCACCGGAGAAAATTTGTTGATGGTCACAGTGTATAAGGTTTCTCCATTAAGAAGCCGCATGTATGTTAAAGGGGTACTCCACCCAAAAATGAAAATTCTCTCAATATTAACTCACCATCATGCTATCTTAGATGTGTAAGACTCTGTGAGTCCATTTAATGGGACAGGTACGCTTGCATTACATGGACTCATGGAGATGAAGTATTTTTTTTTAAGTCTTTGTTAATCTGAAGAAATATACATTTGAGACAGCATGAGGGTGAGTAAATGATGAGAGAATTTTTTGGTATTTAGTATTGTTAGTTATTTATGCACAAATAGTTTAAAAATAACATTGCCGTAGCAACTTTATCTTACATGTCCGGTGTGTGTGTCAGTATTTGTCTGACCCAGCTTTTGTTTTTGTGCCTTGTACTGTTCTCTGTTTGAGTTAATAAGCTGTGTCACCGATGTACCGGAAAACAGATTTTGGTTGGATATACTCCAGCAGCAGGCAGTTTTTCAAAAGACTCCTTTTGCCCTACTAATCTAATCCATCCTGTTTGAAGAACTTAATTTCCACAGGCACTAAGTGGGGCAGAGGTATGATCATGCCAGTGGTATTGACTCTTATTTTTCTCTATATCGTTAAGGACTGGGCTTTAGGAGTGCTGCATGCCAAAATCATTGCTGCCATCACCCTCATGGGTCCCCAGTGGTGGTTGAAGACCGTTATTGAGCAGGTTAGTGGCTGCAGTGACTATCGTTTGCTCATGATCTCTGTGCTGCTGTTACGGGTTACGGGCTCACTAACTGAATAATTTACTGCTTTTCAGGTGTATGCCAATGGAATCAGGAACATTGACCTTCATTTCATCATCAGGAAGCTGGCGGCCCCGGTTATTGCTGTACTGCTGCTTTCTCTCTGCATCCCTTATGTGATTGCTGTAGGCATCGTCCCCCTTCTAGGTAGGTATAAACAATGCTGTGCTAGTCATAAAGCTCTCAGTTTCTCAGAACATGTTTGTATTAGGCATAGTTGTATTTGGTGTAAATTTAACTTTTATTTATTTGTTATAAATTTGAAAATGATGCTGCTGTAATTGTTCAGTCAGTCAAAAAAC